TAAGATCCACCTGACAATAAGGCTAATCTGGGTACTAGTCGGGAATGTGTTTAGGATTACTGCTCAGCACTGGTTTCTGGGAAGATTTCTTTATGGTAATACTGTATGGTCTAGGGAAGGATTACTTCATGGCACTTTTGTCCTGGGAGGATTACTTTTTTTTGGCACTAGTGTCTAAGAGTAATTACTTCTTAATACCATTTTCTTGGGATGATTTTATCTTGTCACTAATAAGCAGGAAGTAGTATTACCTCTTGTCACTGGGGTGAAAACTGTTTCTCATTGCTGTTATGGGGATGATTATGTCTTGTTAGTATTGTGGGGATGACTCCTCCTTGTCACTCACTGTCTTGTTGGGAGGGTAGTTCATATCAGTGTTGTGTAAATTTTGTCATGTCACTAGTGCATGAGGAAAAAAGATGTTACTTGACAGCTGTGTGTGAGGTTGATAACTTCAGGTAATTGTTTAGAAAGGTTGCTTCATATCACAGCTGTGGGGGTGAATTACATTCTATACACTATTGTGTAAGGAGATTAGTGTCACCATTTTGTGGGGCTGAGTTACTGTATATCACTGTGCAAGGGAGAAGTGTTTCTTTTCACTGATGTGTAAAAAAAAAAAACTTCCACCAATCTAATGACCAGCTTAGCTGTCTAACAAATTTCTGGGTTGCTTTTATTAAGTCTCTTTTTAATGTCAATATATACAGAGTTTAATAACAGTATGTAATATGTGTGTGTATGTATATTTCTTAATAAGATATAGTAACTGATGTTTATTTACAACTCACATCTGCCAGACAATCCTTGTATTATTGCAGACGCTCTTTAACTACCATAGTTATTATTTTTCTTACCGAAGATGCTTCTTGCTCTGGACATTTTTATAGTTTACAAAACCAGATGGTAGCACCTTTCTAAATATCAACATATGAAACATTTCTTGCATCCTGTGTGTCTTTCCATTTATATTAGCAATGTCCTTTCCAAGATGGGCACCTCAATGCATGCACAGAGTCAGCACTCTTTCACATGCTCTGATGCAGAATTATCCCAGAGTGAAACTGTTACCAATTTACATATGCAATTAGTTGACAATATGTTGGTGGTAGACAATATTGATTAATAACATATCACTAAGTGATACAATGATGACAGATGTTACTGTGGCAGTTGACACTGTGACAACAGATGTTACTGTGCCAGCTGACACTATGTGATGACATATTACTATGCAGGCTGACACTATGTTGATGATCAAAAATATGCCACTGAATACCAGTATAACCAGCCACTTGCTGCATCACTGTGACTGATACAGAGTTGCTAACATTAGGTTGTTTGTTAATTAACAACTTACCGTCAAGTGACTCACCCTACCTAGACCCAGAGGCGACACTTCTTCTCTGGGTTCATAGGGGAGCCAACAGGACAGCCCCAAGTATCGGCAAAAAACTGGGAGTTCTGGGCAACAACATTGGCTCTGTAGACTCCTGGGCTGTGCATGTCCTTGCTGTATTTCTCGTAGCCTTCCTTGCTCACCACCTCACACCAGATCTAAGAAAAATGAAGAGATGATGTGGGAGCGTGTTTGTGGTATTTCAGTGTGAAGAATGTATTTAGCTTTGGCAAGTGCATGTATTCAGTGCGAGAGACAAATTATAGCAATGTTTGATTATTAAATTAGAAGAAGATATTAACTGTTTCATAATTTATACAGAAAATAGTAGTAAGTTAATTCCATCTACATCATTAGCATTTGAAGAAAATAATGTTAATAAAACATTTTTGAACTTTTTCATTTTTTCTTTTCTTTTAAAACACTAGTGCTGAGTAAATAAAAAAAAAAATTCTAAAAAGTACAATGCTGAGACATACTCAAACTACTTAAGATATTTTCATGTTACCATAAGCAACCAAGACTTCTAGTCAAGTCTTAACAAGTGAAAAACTAATATAAGCACTGGAAGCCTATATTATTTAACCTCATTAGACAGTCCACATGATTACTTTATCATTATTTATTCAGTAAATTTCACAATATGTACAGTTATGTGCCACATAACAATGCTTCGGTCAGCAACAAACTGCATATACGACAGTGGTGTAAACAAACCTATTGCGCTGCCAGTCGTATAAAAGTATAGCACATACAATTGTGTACAGTACATAATACATACTTGATAATGATAAAAAAACTGTTAACTGGTTTATGTATTTACTATACAGTACTGTACTTTTTAGCTCATAAAAAATGTTTACTGTAAAACAGTAAGCCATGTCAGGCCAGCAGCAGTCTCATATATCTCATGTTTACCGCATCTTTTGATGGCATCATTTTCCCTTGTGCTTGACTTAATCTTATGTTTTGCTCATAATGACCCTGAAGGAGAAGAAAAGAAGAACTCTCAAGGTAATTCACAGTGAAGGATTTAGCTGAAGCTTTAGCAGACCTTAACAAGCTGCTTTAAAAGTTCAAAAACATGAACCCCAACACTGAAAGATTTTAATTAATAGAGAGGAATGTTTATGGTGCATTATCTGCTTACATGCAAATCTATGATGAAAAAACAAACCATATAGCATAGATGTGTAGCAGGCTATACCATCTAGGATTGTGTAAATATACCATGCCATTTGCACAACGACAAAATACCTAACGACTCATTTCTCAGAACACATCCTTGTTGTTAGGCAATGTGTGACTGTATAAAATTATTCGATGACCAAACATTAAAAAATGTCTCGACTCTCCTTGCATCTGTTAAGGTGCACATGATGTGCATGCATGTGTGTGTGCGTGTGCATGTGCTCACCTATTTGTGGTTGCAGGGGTCGAGACTCAGCTCCTGGCCTTGCCTCTTCACTAATCGCTATTAGGCTCTCTCTCCCCCTGCTCCATGAGCTTTATCATACCTCGTCTTAAAGCTATGTATGGTTCCTGCTTCCACTACATCACTTTCCAGACTATTCCACTTCCTGACAACTCTGACTGAAGAAATACTTCCCAACATCCCTTTGACTCATCTGAGTCTTCAATTTCCAGTTGTGACCCTTTTGTTTCTGTGTCCCATCTCTGGAACATCCTGTCTGTCCACATTATCTATTCCTCGCAATATTTTGTATGTTGTTATCATGTCTCCCCTAACCCTCCTGTCCTCCAGTGTCGTCAGGCCTATTTCCCTTAACCTTTCTTCGTAGGACAATCCCTTTAGCTCTGGAACTAGCTTTGTTGCAAACCTTTGCGCTTTTTCTAATTTCTTGACGTGTTTGACCAGGTGTGGGTTCCAAACTGGTGCTGCGTACTCCAGTATGGGCCTGACGTACACAGTGTATAAAGTCTTGAACGATTCCTTACTGAGGTACCGGAACGCTATTCTCAGGTTTGCCAGGCGCCCATATGCCGCAGCAGTTATCTGCTTAATGTGTGCTTCTGGCAACGTACTCGGTATTATACTCACTCCTAGATCTTTCTCCTTGAGTGAGGTTTGCAGCCTTTGGCCTCCTAGCCTCCCTCTGTCTCCAGTCTTCTTTGCCCTTCTCCGATCTTCATGACTTTGCATTTGGTGGGGTTAAATTCTAGGAGACAGTTGCCGGACCACACATCCAGCCTGTCCAGGTCTCTTTGTAGACCTGTCTGGTCCGCATCTGATTTATTTCTCCTCATTAACTTTGCATCATCTGCAAACAGGGACACTTCTGAGTCTATCCCTTCCATCATGTCGTTCACATATACCAAGAACTGCACTGGTCCCAGAACTGACCCCTGTGGGACCCTGCTCGTCACAGGCACCCACTGTGATACCTCATCATGGACCATGACCGCTGTTGCCTCCCTGATAGGTATTCTCTGATCCACTGCAGTGCCCTTCCTGTTATATGTGCCTGATCCTCTAGCTTCTGTACTAATCTCTTGTGAGGAATTGTGTCGAAGGCCTTCTTGCAGTCCAAGAAAATGCAATCAATCCACCTCTCCCTCTCATTTCTTACTTCAGTTACCTTCTCATAAAACTCTAGTAGGTTTGTGACACAGGATTTGCCTTCCACGAATCCGTGCTGGCTGTTGTTTATAATCTTGTTCCGTTCCAGGTGCTCCACCACTCTCCTCCTGATAATCTTCTCCATGACTTTGCATACTATACAAATCAGTGACACTGGTCTATAGTTTAGTGCTTCATTTCTGTCTCCTTTCTTAAAGATGGGGACTACATTTGCCATCTTCCTTACTTCAGGAAGTTGCCCAGTTTCAAGGGAAGTGTTGATGATTTTGTAAGTGGCACACACACTGTCTCTGCTCCCTCTCTAAGGACCCATGGAGAGATGTCTGGTCCCACCGCCTTTGAGATATCAAGGTCACTTAGGAGCTTCTTCACCTCCTCCTCAGCTGTGTGTAATTTATTCAACACTTGTTGGTATATCCCTTGTTGGTGTACCCCACTGTTTTGTTTTCCCAGTGTCACTTCAGCCTCCACTGTAAATACTTCCTGAAATCTCACATTGAGCTCCTCACATACTTCTTGGTCATTTCTCATGAGCTCCCCACCTTCTTTCCTCAGCCTGATTACCTGGTCCTTGACTGTTGTCTTCCTCCTGACGTGGCTGTAAAGGAGTTTCGGGCCAGACTTGACTTTTGATGCTATGTCGTTTTCGTACTGCCGCTGGATCTCCCTCCTTATCTGTGCATACTTGTTTCTGGCTCGTCGACTAATCTTTATTTTCTCGAGTTCTTTGCCTTCTGTACTTTTTCCATTCTCTAGAGCACTTAGTTTTTGCCTCCCTACACCTTTGGGTGAGCCAACGGCTCATTCTGTTTTTCCCATTATTTCTGTTACCCTTGGGAAAAACCTTTCCTCTGCCTCCTTGCATTTTGTTGTTCTGTAGTCCATCATTTCGTTTACTGATTTTCCTACCAACTCTCATCTGTGTGTGTGTGTGTGTGTGTCAAAATTGGTGCATTCCTGAGATAATATGATGACAATGAATCTTAGTCTGTACTGATAAAGTAGATGCATCCCTAGATTAGCACAAAACAAATGCATGTCTAGCTGATACGAAGTAGATACATGCCTTGGCTGGTGTGAAATAAGTGTTTGTCAAACAGTGGAGCATGGCCCCCCTTGGTGGTTGCACTTAGGTTTCCATGGGGGCTGAGTTTTCTGTGTTATTAATTATTCCAAAAGGAATAATTAATAAAAATGTTTCATCTCTATTGTCACTAACCAATTTTCTTTTTGGTTGGCTGTTATCACTAATCTTCTTAGGCCCCATGGTGACTTATTTATACAAATAATATATAAAAAATGTGAAGAAATAGAAAATAGTTTACAGGGAAGGTCAGCAGAGCTTTGCACTGAGTGACAGTTGCGGGGAGACTGACACACACTGTTTGGTCGAGTGCCGAGCAAACAGCCTACTACAGAGCAATTTTTTACTGAACAAAGTGTTCGAATACTGAATTGTTCGAGTTGGGAGCTGTTCGTGTACCGAGGTATTACTGTATCTCCAAGGTTTCAGAAATGTGCTCATAATAACTTTAGTTATGCTGAAATGGAGAAGCAAAAAAACATGAATCAAGCATAAAGGTGACTATTTATTACTGATGCTCAGGAGTAACCAACAAGCCTACAAGGTAGTTACAAAAGTCACAGTGATGTTTCCAACAACTTACTAGAACTTACATTCTTATCCATGGTAGCAATCAAAGCAAAAGCCACAAATAGGCTGATTGACATCAAGAACAAGTTATGATGTTCATTGAGCAAGATCAACTCTAGATATGATAGTTTGCAGAGAAGAAATGTGATTTTTTTTTTTTTAAACACAATGGCCATCTCCCACTAAGGTAGGATGACCTGAAAAAGAAACCCTTTCACTACCATTCACATTAACACTGTCTTGCCAGAGTAGATGAATGCTTGGGATGAGGCGACATAAATTGCAGTTGCATACCTGGGCAAAGGTGATGAAAAATATTTGGGGGACAGTGTAGTTCATGCCAGGTAGGTAAGGCTCTTCTCCATTTCTCTCTCTCCAGCGGGTGTAAGCCAACCAAGCATTAAGCACGCCTGCATTGTCACAGATGTTGTCCCCGAGAGTTTCATTGCCATCAACCTGCCCAGGAGATGGATCCTAGATCATCACACACGTTAAGACATCAATGTAGCTAGTTAAGAAAATGCAAATGTATTAGATACAATATTCTATAAGTAGTTTATTCTTGCATCTGATCATCTTAATGATTAATCTACACATACAGTAAACAGATTCAGTATTTTAACAAATTATTCTTGCAACCAGTAAATCAAACAATATATGTACTGTGTCTCAATATTAATATTAAAGAAGGTGCAATTGCAATTTAACATATTTAAATATAGTCATTGTTCTTATATCTCATATACTTATTAAAATATTCAATAGAGATTTTGATAAAGAGATGGAAAAGGTAATTTTGAATGAGGTGCACAGTGCTTGATACAATGAAACAAAAACAGCATATATGTTCTGGTAGAAAACTGCAGATTTTCCTATTACAATTTCTCAATAAACAAAGAAGTCAGTAGCAACAATCTTGATGATCTCCAAAAAATTGGAGCGAATTTCTTAAGAAATAACTTGTACTTGGTTCCACAGCACCAGTAGATGATAAACAACACACAGTACTGCTGTGCTGTATTTAATCAAGTTTCAACAAGAAACAATGTTTACTTGATATCAATAATTCTTTTATTTCACAGTATTTAATAATTTAAATTTGTTTCACTACTGTTCTGCGTAGCAACATTATAATGTGATTTTTTTGCTATAAGAATTTCAGGAGGAGTGAAATTTATTTGTTTATCTCAACAAGTGTACCATAATTTTAAACAAGTTATTGTTACTCTCAAAATTAAAGCTTAAATCATGTAATACAGGTATAACTTAATTTTTTTTTTTTTTGGCAGTAAAATAATAATTAAACTATATTATACAGGGGTTTCATTAAGGATCCACTCATAATAATCAGGATGCCTTACAAGATCTTCATTATTTATTTTTACATTATTTAAAATGCCAAGAAATTTTCACAGTACTGAGCAATAAGTATTTTGTACAGTGCTGGCATAACTTGACACGCATTCAGTGGTGTGACCAGAAAATCCTAAATTTTTGGGGTGGGCAGGGGAGGGGGGGAAGGAGGAGGTTTTAATGGGGTTATTACACAGTTTGAGAAACCAATGTTTCAATAAAATACAATGTCTATATTTAAAAACAGATTACAAGTGATTCAAAACCTTTCCCTTGTGTCATCATGCATGTAGCACTCACTATACGTAAATTAGGTTAGCATGCTGAAAGTCATGGCTTTGTTGGGAGATGTGAAGAAAGTTTGGTTAACATAGAATATATATGAATGGAAGAGGTTAGGTGTGAGCAGAACCTGCCTAGCAGGGGACAGCCAGCTCACTGCAATAGCTCCTCTAATCTTAGGTTTTGTTAAACTTACAAGGAAACAATTCAGTTAGATGTATATATTACATCAGGAACAGGTAGGCTGAGGATGGGTCCTGGTCATGGTCTTCTCCATGCAGTGACCTGACAATATTACATCAGTGATATAGAACAAAGTTTTGCCACTGCATAAGATCTCTTTCCTATTGAGATGGATATCTCTGAATCTGCACTCTAGTGAAGTGTAAAATGAGGGAAGATATGACTGAGGAAGATATGGGAAAGACAGGTAGGAGAGAGAGAAATAAAGTGTGAAGGATATCTAACCAGGAAAGAAATAAGGGAATCAAGTTTGATAAATTTAGATTTAGAAAAGATTTAGGAAGAATAGGATAGCAGATGAACAAGGAGGCTTTAGGAAAGGTAGGGGGTGTGTGGACCAGGTGTTTACAGTGAAACATATAAGTGAACAGTATTTTTGATAAGGCCCAAAAAAGGTCTTTGTGGCATTTATGGATTTGGAAAAGGCGGGATGTACAGGTAGATAGGGGGGCAATGTGGCAGATGTTGCAAGTGTATGGTGTAGGAGGTAGGTTACTGAAAGCAGTGAAGAGTTTTTACGAGGATAGTAGGCTAAATTTAAAGCATGTGGGAAAGAGGGAAATTTTTTCCCAGTAAAAGTAGGCCTTAGACAAGGATGTGTGATGTCCCTGGTTTTTAATTTTATTTATAGAGGGGTTTTGTGAGAAGAAAATGCGAGGGTTTGAAAAGAGCGGGATTTAAAAAAGAAAAAAAAACACACAAAAGTGGGAGTTGTCAGCTGCTCTTTGCGATGCCTGTGCTCTTGGAGATTCTAAAGAGAATTGCAGAGTTGGGGATAAAATTTGGGTTTTGGGGTGCAAAAAAAAGAAAATTAAAGGTAATACAGGAAGAAAAGGGTTTAGGGGAGGAAAACAAAAAGATTAGGTGATAAAAGATTGAAATCAGATTGGGGGGAGAGAGTATGGAGGAGGTGAATGTTTCAGATTTTTGGGAGTGGAGTGTCAGCGGATGGGCTATGAAAGTGAGGTGAAACATAAATTGATGGGGAAAAAAGTGGTGGTGCCTTAGGAGCTGTGGAGACAAAAACTTTGTTTGGGGCAAAGGGGGAATGTTGAGGTATAGTTTTACCCCGCTTTATATGGGTGTGAAACAGGTGGGTGAATGTTGCAGCGAGGGAAGGCTGGAGGGGGGGAGATGTATTTGAGGGCAATGTGTGGTGGAAATAATGCAGGAATTCGTAGTTTGGGAAGTTAGGAGGAGGTGCGGGATTACCAAAACTGTTGTCCAGAGGGCTGACGAAGGGTTGTTGAGGTGGTTCGGACATGTAGAGAGAATGGAGCGAAACAGAATGACTTCAAGAGTGTATCAGTCTGTAGTGGAAGGAAGGCGGGTAGGGGTCGGCCTAGGAAAGGTTGGAGAGAGGGGGTAAAGGAGGTTTTGTGTGCGAGGGGCTTGGACTTCCAGCAGGTATGCATGAGCGTGTTTGATAGGAGTGAATGGAGACAAATGGTTTTTAATACTTGACGTGCTGTTGGAGTGTGAGCAAAGTAACATTTATGAAGGGGTTCAGGGAAACCGGCAGGCCGGACTTGAGTCCTGGAGATGGGAAGTACGGTGCCTGCACTCTGAAGGAGGGGTGTTAATGTTGCAGTTTAAAAACTGTAGTGTAAAGCACCCTTCTGGCAAGACAGTGATGGAGTAAATGATGGTGAAAGTTTTTCTTTTTCGGGCCACCCTGCCTTGGTGGGAATCGGCCAGTGTGATAATAATAATAATTAGGAAAATACAACTTGAACACTGCCTAGTAGTCACTGCAGCTACACCTTGGGTAGCTTTAAAAACAGGTGAAAGAGGTCGGATATGAGAGAGCAACCTAGTGTTATCCCAGTATCACATTTTCCTCCACTAGTTTTTCCACCAAATACTTTCATACCTTGTGAATGTTTATTTGGTTGAGATGGGTATGGGTGTACTCACCTAATTGTACTCATCTAATTGTAGTTGCAGGGGTAGAGACTCAACTCCTGGCCCCGCCTCTTCACTGAAAGCTACTAGGTCCTCTCTCTCCCTGCTCCATGAGCTTTATCATACCTCGTCTTAAAGCTATGTATGGTTCCTGCCTCCACTACATCGCTCGCCAGACTGTTCCACTTCCTGACCACTCTATGACTGAAGAACTGCTTCCTAACATCCCTGTGACTCATCTGAGTCTTCAACTTCCAGAAGTGACCCCTTGTTCCTGTGTCCCCTCTCTGGAACATCTTGTCTCTGTCCACCTTGTCTATTCCATGCAGTATTTTATATGTCATTATCATGTCTCCCCTATCCCTCCTGTCCTCCAGTGTTGTCAGGCCAATTTCCCTCAACCTATCTTTGCAGAGGCACGCAGACATGACAGTTCAGATGTCACTCCAAACAGCCAATAACCCGAACCCCTTATTTTAAGTGTAAGCATTGTACTTCCCACCTCCAGGATACAAGCCCAGCTAACTGGTTTCCCTGAATCCCATCACAAAATATTTCCCTACTCACACTCCAACAGCTCATCAAGACCTAAAAACCATTCGTCTCCACTCCTATCTAACATGCTCATACATGTTTGCTGTACGTCCAAGCCCCTTACACACAACACCTCTTTTACCCCTCCCTTCATCCTTTCCTAGGACAACCCCTACCTCTCCTTCCCTCCATTACAGATTTATACACTCTCCAAGTCATAATATTTTGCTCCATCCTCTCTAAATGACTGAACCTCTTCAAGAACCCCTTCTCAGTCCTCTGAATAATACTTTTAGTAATCCCACACCTCTTCCTAATTTCCACATGATGAATTCTCTCCATAATATTTACACCACACATTGCCCTCAGACACGACATCTCCACTGCCTCCAGCATTCTTCTTGCTGCAACGTTCACAACCCATGCTTCACACCAGTTGTTGTTGTTTGTCCGTCGATTTGACGAGGACCATCTAGTCATCCTGGGGTCGAAGTTGGTGGGTACGCAGATGACTTATCAGGCCAATCCGCGCACGAAACGTTCTCTGGCAGTGTGGACAGGGAAGGGTGGCGGCATCGAGGGGCCTGATGGCTCTGGTCTTCCTCGCCTGCCTGCGCTGCTCAGCTAGTGAGATTCTGCTTGCCTCGCAGGATATTGCCCCTTTCTGGACAACTGCTCGCCAGTCATTCCTGTCCTGAGCTATAAGCTGCCACATGGTGTGGTTGATGTTGAAAGCTTTCAGAGCAGTCTTAAGGGTGTCCTTGTAGCGCTTCTTTTGGCCTCCATGAGAGCGCTTTCCATGCTGCAGTTCGTCAAACAAGAGTTTTTTTTGGCAGCCGGTGGTCTGGCATGCGAGCAACGTGACCTGCCCAGTGAAGATGTGTCTGCATTAGGATGGTGTAGATGCTAGGCAGGCCAGCTGTAGTCAGCACTTCTGTGTCTGGGATCTTATCTTGCCATTTGATGCCGAGAATTTTTCTGAGCCGTGTGGTGTGAAAGTGGTTCAACTTTCTGGTGTGACGTTTGTAGACAGTCCAGGTTTTGCAGCCATAGAGAAGTGTGGTGAGGACTATGGCTTTGTACACCTTGATCTTGGTGCTTGTGGTGATGCCTCTTCGGTTCCATACATTCTTGTGGAG